CACATTTCAGGTGAGGAACAAAGTGTGTTCAAGGTCACTTGCATTCACTGCATGTGTAGAGTGCTATACAGAAAATGATGTTTTTTCTAAAAAAAACTACCGATAGTTTCTGCGACACAACGTTTCCCTCCTGTGAATGTTGATAAAAATGATTTTTGATATGAACTGAACGTGATTCACTCAACATTGTAAGGAGAAGTGTGAGTGGAAGGTACATTTGTTCCATGAATACAGGTAGTGTAGAATCTCTTCTTGCGGACACCTCCATGATATACAGACACCAGAGAAATCAGAACTTATTTAATTTGTACCTCTGAACATGGACTCGCGTCTTTGTCCAATTGGGCCATTTTGGGGTCCATAGTAGAGAGGTTCCACTGTAATTTGAACCAGATTTAAAAGCTTGTCTTAGAAATCGGTAGTAGACGTTTTTCACACACTCATGCGATCTCATTTAACCAGACAGCGCCCATTTATTAGCGATAGCTTACATGTGTGACCTGAAGAGTTTTCGTTCAGCAACTCCACGTGTGGGTATGACTGTGTTCCTAAACTTCATTCTCATTCGTGTTATTGATATTCTCAATTGAATTGTACTGAAATCAGGTGATTTTTCCTTCAGCACTGTGTCGATTCCTTCAATATCAATACCAACAAATGGGTGTTCAGGTATGTAAACGATTTTATTTTATTTTAGTCTACTGTACCTTAGATTGAATGTTTTTCTTTTGTTTTAAAAGCTTTCAGGCAAGTTTATTATTAACCGTATAATATTCGGAATAACATTAAACTGAGCGAAACGTATGTAAAGCAGTTACACTAAAGTGACTATAATAGTATGGTTACTCTCACTAGTTCATTGCAGGTTTATTCTAGCACACTTGCCAGGGTTCTTCAGTCCTTTGCGTTTAAGACGCATTCTGAGTAAAGTGTTTTGCTGCACAATACACCATAAGAACAGTGCTAGGCTTTTTGAACTCTTGACCTTTGGATTCCAAGTTATACGCAATGACCTTTAACCCTTTACCTGTCTCACTACTTCGTACATGCACAATCAGTGTTACATACAGTACAAGTTGTAAACTGGAGGTTAAATAATCTGCCTGTATTCGACAGAAATGAACATGTAAAAATTGATATCGATATTATAGACAAAATAGGTACTGCAATAACAAGTAATGAAAGCAGTTATTAAACTAAACATGATAAATAGTTTTATATTCGATTCCTGTAGGTACATCTTCAAACGCCTTCGTTTCCTTGGCAACAAGAACTTATCACATTTCCTGGCTCTGATGTTTCTTGCTCTGTGGCACGGACTGTTTGTGGGATACTTCGTTTGTTTCCTCGGGGAATTTGTCATCATGGTAATAGAAAAACAGGCAAGTCATTGGCTTTTTGTCTTAGTTATTGAATTTAAAAAAAAAAGAACTGTGGAGCAGCGTCGCGGACAAGTGAAAAACATTAACTGTTTATCTCTTGGCCATTTTCGTATACTCGGTACTGGACTGGAACTAGCTTGCAATTGAGGCTCAAAAGAGATTAATGTCATTTACATTTGAAAAGACTCCCCGCATTAGGCTCAGTTGCAAGCTAATCCCAGTCCAATACCGGGAATACGAAAATGGCCTATTAGAAGTTGGTAACGGTAAATTAACCGAGCGTTAGTCGTTCATTGGTGGTTTGTGTGTGCCTGGTATGATGGGTTGGGGAATTACGTTACTGGAGGACGCATGCTTCCAGAAACTACATCAATAATTTCATTCAATGAAATAAATTCGTTGATCCCGTGGGAGCGAAAAAGCCAAGTTGAGAGAGACTTCCAACTTTCAGTGCTGCCTTGGTAAAGGGAAATACCGTGAACAAATCATGTTTTTTCGCAAATATGGGACTAGAGGCGTCCCTGTAGTTGTATTTTACGATTCGTAGATGTTCGTGGAAGCGATCTTCTAATCTCGCCGATGTATTGCATTTTGCAAAGAGTAGAGCATATTTGTACATCTACAATTGTGACTATCATTGTTTTTGATTGAGCTTTCTAAGACAGGGACAAACCTGAAAAGTGTTAAATCACGCGCTCGAGAATGTCTTAGTATTTGGTTGTTGGTCAATGTTGCAGAGAAAAGGAGACAAGTGGTAGTTGTGTTAAATTTCTGCCTGTTTCGTGATCATCCTGGCGCCAACACAAAGGGTAACACATTGCATTAAATACTTTCTTGTTGGTTTTTTCTCGATAGGTAACGACCATGTGCTACACTGTAACCAAGAAGTCTTTAGCAGAAATGCCTGCTTATGTGAAGATCCCAGTTATCATAAGTTATGTGTTCGTTGTCCACTTCGGGTTGTCGTATTTTATGGTGGCTTTTACTCTGCTTACGTTTCAACGATTCCACAGGGTAGGTGTATATCTGTTATTACAGTTATCAGCGGTTTAACATGCAAACGAGGCGAACGGGTCTATTTGGTTTGTATTGACCCGTACAACTCGTCAAAAGAATACTTGTCCGCAGACTCAACTGTAATATTACGATTATCAGTAGGGTAAGGCGCGACGAAAGTTTGGTGACCAGGTTTTGACGTTCAACTTGTGTTGTTGTCACGGGCAACTGGCTCCGTTTCCAGTGGCAGCTTGTCAGTCTTTGACGTCATTGGCAGCAACGCGCGCGAAATTGCAGGCGACGATATTGTTACTATTGGAAACGAGGAAAGTTGCCCGTGGCAACGACGTAATTTTAAGTCCAAAACTTCGTTACCAAAGCTCCGTCGCGCCTTACTCAACCTGATAATCGTAGCTACAGCTATTGCTGTACATTAGAATTTAGAACGCTATCTAATTGTAATCAGTTTTAATCTTACCCAATGTTAGCAATGTTAGACTACTTTCGGGTGAGCAGGTATGGTGCAGTGCTTAGAGCGCTCGCCTCCAGCCAACGTGGCCCGGGTTCGATTCCGGCCCAGTGCCATATGTGGGTTGCCATATTGTGCTCAATTAGACAGACTTTCTTTCTGGACAGAATAGCCTCGTGGTGATTCAAGTTGCTGGACAGAACATTCTATTTTATTTTTTACATGTATTCGAAGCTGGTCAGTGCTGACGACATTCAAACTGGACGCCATTTTTCGAATAAGAGCGGTTTTCAAATGAGTGTCATAAAACCAAACCAAAATAACCACACTAGTCAATCACAAAGGACACAGACAATACAGTGAACCAATCAAAACTCGAAGTAATTACATGTAGCTGACGTGAAGCGCGGGAAAACTTGTGCGAGCGAGTCACGATTGGTTTAGTTTTACTTCTGATTGGACGAAAAAGTGGCGCGAGTTTTTCAGCCAATCGTGTAACGTAGTGATACAAAACCAATTACTTTTCGCTCTAACAGAAGCTATTTAGACATTCATCTTCACGGAACTTGCCTCTTTTCCCTTACACCGCGTGTTTTACTTTTTTTTTTTTTTTTCAGGTTTGGCGATCCATTTACTACATCGTACCAATTATTTTAGTCACGTGGTCCATTCTTTACCCTATACTCATCTATCCAGTGTTTAAAAGAATGACACAAGACCAAAAGGACAGGTAAAAGTCGAACACTAAGACCCAGTCCACATTACGCCGGAGAAATTTGAAAACGCGACAATCACCGGTCATTTTGGATTTGTGTTTGAGGAAAACTCGAGCAGGGAAATCACATCATTGTGGTGACGTTATCGTTTTCTGTTCACACTAAAACGTACAGTCTGCCTTTTCAAATTGCTCCGGTTTGAGAAGCGTTTTCGAAAAGCTCCATTTTCCGGCGTGACGGATTAGTGTGGACGGGTAGACCTAGCCGTCGAAATGAAGCTGCGTTTTCAAATTTCTCTAGCGTAGTGTAGACGGGGTATTAGACTAGTGGAAATTATCTTGCCGCGTTTCATTATACATCCTGTGGAACTTGCCGCGGTTTTGACCACCATTTTGAAGAGTCTCTGCAAACGTGTTTGGCAACAGATTTCTACAAAAATGTAATTTTTCCAAGGACTTGATTACATCTCGAAAACTGAAGTGAACTACATGAAGCAAAAGGGTTTATCTAATTGAGTCTGAGCAAGGTTAATTTCCCAAAACCGTGTAGTTTTAGGGCAAGATTTCCTGCAGTGTTTGCGAGTATTAATATTTTATTCGTTTATTCTGTCCACTGTGTGAATTTTTTACCTTAAGGTCTTTTCTTCATGAGCCAGAAGTGCCTAATTACTTCATGCACCTCAAATGTTAACACTGTTTTAACTTATTTTGCAGGTCAAAGAAAGAGAAGTAGTAGTCGATTCCAGAAGGGCGTTTTCTTTTAAGTTCCTATTTTATTTCAACTTTTAGAGCTCCTTTTCTCTAATGTAATACCCGTATTGTGTGATTTGAGTGTTTGTAGAACAACACCGTTTTTAATAATTCGTTTTATTTCGTGAAGGGAGTTCTTTTAGTCCTTATAGCTCGTCACACAATCTTTTGTGCCTTTTGTTTGTCATGCCGTGTCTGTCGCGTGACGACCTAAAAAAAAACCCTCGAGCTTAGTTTAAAAACGTGAATTATCACATTGGATGTTATTATTGATCGCTCACAAGAAATTTAACAGGGACATGATTATTTTATATTTTAATCCAAAACTAAAGTGTTAATATATATTTTTTGTAGGAGTTCATCATTTTGACTTATTCCTTATGAAGCTGACTGAAGTTTTTAAATCCTATGTGAGTTATATCGAACTAGTTTCTATTAAATTAGTTTCTGCTTTCGGAATCCCTCTTATTGTCTTTATTCTTTTTTAGTTTTTAGCTGTTTAGTGTTTTTTTCACTTTAGTGAATCTGGACAATTTGAGTAGGAAGCCCAAGCTGTATAATTAACTTCCATCAAAAGTTGGCTAAAGTTTATCTCGAAAACAATTTATACTACAATTTCCCCCTTTATTATGCGCTTTAGTCTTCACTTATAATCGTACGCAGCTTTGTTGATTTTTGTTTTCACCTCAATGGTTTTTTCTATCTGAAGAAAGTTTTATTTTGAGGTAAGGTATTTTTGATATAGTGAGTGTTGAAAAGACGAAGTCTGCTAAGTGTCTCTCGGAAGTACCCGAGAGAGGGGCTAAAAGGCCGCGTTCTTTACGCACCCAGTCTGTCCAGAAAAGCCAGTTTTTTCACGCGTAGTGTTAAATTAACAATGTTTGTCACTGCATTATAGCGTAGCTGATTATATATAGCCGCCACAGCACACGTTTAGGAACATTTTGGGCGCGAACGTCCTTAACTTGAGTATTTTTGAGCAAAAATTCCTCTTAGGGGTTGGAAGGGCTATGTGATCGGTGAGTGAGGGTGTTATGCATGTGCGCGTGTCACACCAATCGCAGTGTGGGTTGTATCAAAGAACGAATCAAATTGCCTGTTAGAAAATAAGATGGTATCCACATTAATCTGGAGACGTGCCAGATTACTGTAGTTTGTTCAGTCAAACATTTTATGGCTTACTATTTAGTTATCTCACCATTACCGATGTAACATTGTATGTACATCATAAATTCCCAGTNTACTGTAGTTTGTTCAGTCAAACATTTTATGGCTTACTATTTAGTTATCTCACCATTACCGATGTAACATTGTATGTACATCATAAATTCCCAGTTTCTTTCTTGCTGTACATGGCAACCCAAAAAACTTGTCAAATAAACCAAATCATTACTGTAAACCGTTCTATGAATGCTTCTATCTCCAAGACTTTTAGTTCACCAAAGAAAAAAAACTCTTGCACGCTTGCGTGCCTATGTTTAAAAGACGTGATAAGTATAGCCCCAGAGTGATTTGTTCACGAATTAGTTATTAGTAAAATTTAAATTATACGTTCCGCAGTTTGGCTAAAAGTATTGTAAAACACACGCTTTCGACTTCCTAAACTGCAATATTCAGCGGGTGAATGATGAAAGAGACGCTAAAAATTCTAAAATGTAGTGTGATGAAAATAATACAATAGATTGAGTAGAGTTATGAAAATAAACTTTAAGAATTCAATGATTTACAACCTGACCTTGTTTGCCAAATTCCTTGTGCTAACTGTTTGTGGAGTAATGTCAGAGAAAGGGGCAGATCGTTTACTATGATTTAAAAAGAAAATATCATTATAAGGAACAGGAAAAACTGCGGCCAAAGGCTCCACGGGCCCGTTTCTCGAAGGTCCCGAAAAGTTTTCTCAACCGGAAAGCCATAGCAAAAGCTCAAACCTTATGATAACAGAGCTGTTTTATCCACATATTCTTAG